TTTAAAATATATTTAAACTTTAATTTTTGAAATCATTTCGTTAATTGAATTGATAGCTATCATGTTAAATTGCCAAAAAATTGCACCCTTTCTTTAAAAAATAATGATGTGAAAAAAAAAAAAAGATGATGTGACATTTGTTCTTTCTACATGACATTTTAACTGAATTTCAATTTTTAACACTAATACACACCGTTTTACTGCTCTTTATATACATTTTATAAACACCATCCACCCTAGCTTTTATCTCTAGCTCCGAGCTGTGACACCCTCTACTCTCATTCACTGCCGACTTCTCCTTCTTTGACATTGACAGAAACAATAACGATAATTACTACAACAACGGCAACAACAAAGGTTATTTAGTATTATAAATTTATAATTTTAGTGTAATATTATATGATTAGTTTTTTTTATTTGATAATTTACCTATAATATTATATATATCACTCATTTAATAACACATCAAAATATTAAACTTATAATCTTACTTGTATTGTAACTATATTTCTATTAATTCCAAAATTTTTAGTTCCTAATTTTCTTTTTAAAAAAAATTAACTTACTTTAATTGTTTGATTATTGCAGCATCCAAACATGAACTTAACAATTTTTTTTTTTTGGGGATAAGTGAACGTAAAAGTTTAATAATTGAGAATATTCTTAGTATTCATTTGGTATAATAGTTTAAGATAATGGTTAATAGTTTTGTTTAAACCATTATAAGATAAAAGTTTGATAAATTTATTTATTTTGAAGCTACAATAAATTAAATGTTTAATAAACTTTTTTAATCTAACAGTTTAAAATTAATGAATAATGATTATGATTTAAATCGTTAGTGAATTTGATTTTTTTATTTTTATTAATATCTTTATCTTTTTTTTTAAATTTTTTAATTTCGTACCAAAGTTCTATCAATGGTTTCTAACCATGGTTGTCAAAATAGTGACTTTACAATTTTAGATATCCAAATTGAGTTAAATCAGAGTAAAAATCAGAATTTTATAAATGTAGGGTAAAATCGTAGTAAACTCGTAAAATCCAAAATTGTGATTTTACAAATTTTAAAACTTTTAAAGTTTTGGTGTCCCGAAGCATATATTTGCCGTGGAGTGTGGTGGTGGAAATGCGCTGGCTGTTTTCAAATGGGCAGTTTGACCATGATTCGAGCCTTGGCTAT